ATTTCTTTCAATGTGAGACTGAAAATTCTGTTCAGTTGGAGTCTAAAGAGATACACTTGCTATTTTTTACAGAAGCATTTTCTAGATGCTTTGCTGAGTGTGGCCACAGGGGCCACCTGTGGGAAGTCTGACCCATTAACAGGCCTCAGAACTGGTGATCTTGGGTCCTGCCAGGGGGAAGCGTGACTGCCAATCCCCTTTAGTCTCCCTCATTGCAAATCCGATGATAGGCTTACATGCAGGCTCTCTCTCTTAGTGTCCTCAAGGTCTTATGGGCGCTTTGGTTCTGTGTTCCTTGTCTCTGGAATCTGTAGAGATAGAGCTTCCTGTTTGAATGACAGCTAGAATGGCAGTTCCCTCAAATTTTGGCATTGGGGGGCTGTGTTAATTTCTGGGAAATGGTAGGTGTGTGTTCAGGGTGGAGGTGAGACCTACTGCAGGTAGCTGAGAGGGGAGCCGGTGGGGCACCTGCAAACAGGAGGCCACTGCCAGTGTACACAAGGTGACGGGCGGCCGTGGGAGTGGCGGCAGATGGACTGGGATGGGAGACTGGCTTTGGGCCAAAGTTGAGATGATAGGACTCAGCCTTTAATTGGACGTGTCCTGAGTGAGGAGGGGGTAGGATGACTTAGATTTCTGACTTCAGGTAGAAACAGTGATGCTTACCAGAGAAGTAAAAGGGGGAGAGCAGGTTTGGGTAAAAGGTTGGACCCGGCTCTGTAGCACTCAGTTGGCGGCTCTGAAGAACTTTGGGGTTGATGTCTTCGTCTTAGGTGAACATGCACCCAGAGCTGGGGTGGCAGGTGAGTGTGGGGTGCAGGTCTTACCGTCTCCTCCCCGAGCTGGGCAGGACCTGGGCCTGGGTGAGTGGAGAAGCCACAGTGTGGGGACACCAGGAGGCATCACCACCGAGGCTGCAGGATGGAGCCATGTTGCTGGGAGGGCTCAGGGCAGCAGCCAGTGTCCTCGGCCTGTCAGGCACGGCAGGTGACAGGTCTAGAGAGCACGTCTGGAAGAAGGGCTCAGAAAAGAGCTGACTGGCATTCATCTTCTTGGGGAAAAAGCAGAGCAGGCAATGAATGTTGAAGTTTATCTGGCCACAGCACCTGTCTCTGCTGTGGGCATAAGTGTCTCTCTCTTCTAGAGAATCTAAGATTTTATGCTTTATGGAATCAAAGCCTTTTTTTTTTAAAGTTTTGAGGTTGGCCTTAGGATTTAGCATAAAGATGTTAGCGTTCTTAGTTTACTAAAAACTCAGTGAGATGTTATTCAGTTTATATTTAGCAATGGGAGACTTTGGCCCTCTTGACTTCAGACCTGCAGGTTTGTGGCCGAGGGCCTCTGCCCTCCTGCCTGCTGTGCCCGGGACCCCTTGAGGCCTGCCCTGGGTGGGCATTATGAGCATGTGAGCCCTGGGAGTGGAGGGGCTCTGAAAATCCATCGGCTCTGGCCCAGCATCACAGTTGTCTCATGGGTGGTGTGGAGGTGAGCCTGGCAGAGTTTGGTTCAAAAAACCTCTGTGACCACTGGTGATTTCTGCACTTTTAATGGTTCCTCTGTGGATATTTGTATCTTCAGGCCTGTCAACCACTTGGTCTCAGAATTCCCGGTCCCAGCACAGGAGAAGTTCCTGCTCCAGACATGAAGATCGGAAGCCTTCCGAGGTATTTCCTGAGTGCTGGCGTGACTGCATGTCAGTCACGTGTGTGTGAGAACATGGGCCGACATCCCCCTGAGGCTGATGCTGACGCCTGCCTGTGAAACTTGGGCAGGTCACTTAACCTTTCTGTGCCTCAGTTTCCAACTCTGTAAGATGGGAATAGCACCGGTGTCTACCTCAGGACTCTTGTGAGGATTAAGGGGTTAATATACAGCGGTCCATACATACAAAACACTTAAAAAAGTGCTCAGTAAATGTTACCTCTTATTATTATTAATTATATTCTTCTGTTCCTTTTCTCTTCCCTCTTTGCTGGCTCCCAACAACTTTTCCTCTGGCCAGGATGCCAGTGGGTTCGGCTGCTGCCAGCCTTGTTAGTTTTAGCCATAAATTGGTGGCTTACTTGGCAACAACATGTAATTCTGGGAGTTTTGTTTTGGTGATTATGCTTAAGGTCTTTCCTTCTCCTCCAGTTTGCTTTTCATCTTTTTTTTTTTTTAATATGTCTTTATTGATTTCAGAAAGAGGAAAGGAGAGGGAGAAAGAGAGATAGAAATATCAGTGATGAGTCATTGATCGGCTGCCTCCTGCACGCCCCCTACTGGGGATCGAGCCCGCAACCCGGGCATGTGCCCTGACCGGGAATCGAACCTCGATCTCCTGGATCCTAGGTCGATGCTCAACTGCTGAGCCACGCCTGGCTGAGCTATCCCCTTTCTCAAGTGAGCAGATTATAGGAAGAAGAGTCTTTGGCTCTGCCCCTTGGTTTTGGGCTACCTCTTGGCGGGTTGACCTCACAGACTGCCTCACCTGCGGCCTCACCCTCNCTCAGTAAATGTTACCTCTTATTATTATTAATTATATTCTTCTGTTCCTTTTCTCTTCCCTCTTTGCTGGCTCCCAACAACTTTTCCTCTGGCCAGGATGCCAGTGGGTTCGGCTGCTGCCAGCCTTGTTAGTTTTAGCCATAAATTGGTGGCTTACTTGGCAACAACATGTAATTCTGGGAGTTTTGTTTTGGTGATTATGCTTAAGGTCTTTCCTTCTCCTCCAGTTTGCTTTTCATCTTTTTTTTTTTTTAATATGTCTTTATTGATTTCAGAAAGAGGAAAGGAGAGGGAGAAAGAGAGATAGAAATATCAGTGATGAGTCATTGATCGGCTGCCTCCTGCACGCCCCCTACTGGGGATCGAGCCCGCAACCCGGGCATGTGCCCTGACCGGGAATCGAACCTCGATCTCCTGGATCCTAGGTCGATGCTCAACTGCTGAGCCACGCCTGGCTGAGCTATCCCCGTTCTCAAGTGAGCAGATTATAGGAAGAAGAGTCTTTGGCTCTGCCCCTTGGTTTTGGGCTACCTCTTGGCGGGTTGACCTCACAGACTGCCTCACCTGCGGCCTCACCCTCCGCCTCACCCACAGCACTTCTGTTTCTCCGACCGAAATGGGGTGTGCAGGGCGCTGTGTTGAGTGTAGGAGAGAGTCACCCTCCAAGAGGAAGTACGCATACTTCAGAATTATAGAAACCTTCCCAGGAGACCCCTAAACATCAGATTGCATGTTCCCAGGAAGGTGGCCATTCTACTGCCCTGGCTCATTTCCAGCTCTGTCCCAGGGAACCTGCCCAGCCTGCTTCCCTTTTGGTGGCCCTGGAGCGGCCAGATCTGCTGTTCTTTCTTCTCTAATTCCCCATGCTGCCTCTAAGACCCCTGCTACCTTCCTGATGTTCACATGATGCTCCAGTGATCTCTGGGCAGAAATGCAGGGGATGGGGGACATCAGTGCCCCGGGGCACCTGGACCCCTAGCACCAGCAGCTAGGAGGGCTGAGCGGTGAGGATGGCGCTGGCTTGGCCCTAACCCATGTTTTGTTCCAGATTTTTTCTAAAATTTCTCTGAGTTCAGCTGTGAGTGCAAAGGCCTTTATACTTAAAGTGCCAGTGTTGAACTCTGCTAGGGGCTCGGTGCTTGTGTCCATTTGGGGGCACCTGTTTCGGTCCTTGAGTATCCCTGCCCGAGTCTTTGAGTAAAGGAAAGGTGGGCTTCCTTTTCTCATTGTGTTGCTTCAGTTTGTTTTTACTTCTTTGGAAAACTCCTGATTTTTTTCACTTATAAGACTTAGTTGGAATGTGTTTTTGAGTCAGATTTTCTTCCTAAAGATATCGCCGGCACTTGCTCTGGGAAGCAGTGCTGTGAGGAAGCTGGTCTTTCTGTGCTTTTGTGGGGTGCGCGAGGCTCTCGCGTTCCTGGGGCTTTGGGAGTGAGGAGCGGCAGGCATGTAGGGGAAAGCTCAGACTCTGTTCTGGGGAAGTGTATTAAAGTGATCACCAGCCTGAAAAGCCACCAGGAAAAACAAATATGGACCCATTAGCCGGCGTAGAATGTGAACTGTGCCCACAGCACAAGAAAGAACTCCCTGTCCTTCTCTGGAAGAGCGAGCCCAGCATTGTGACTTGTGTAAACAGAGAGCGTGGCCTACAGATGCAGGCTGCTCCCTGCCAAGTGCAGCTCTGGGCCCGCGCTGGTGCCAGGGTCAGGCCTCCTGTCGCCCGGAGACAGGCGTGGATGAGGAGATGGTGCCGGCTCCTGCCCGGGTCAGAGCAGGTGTGCAGGGCGCCTTTGCTGTGTCCCCTAGAGGCCCCCGACACAGGAGTGAGGGGCTGTCTTGGCTGAGGGTACTTCTGAGTCCTGTGGGTCTGTTTTGCCTGTCTTACTTCTCTCCTCCTCTTGCCCTCCTCTCCTTTCTGTATGAGTAGCACCTCCTCCTAGAAGTTCTGCAGGGACCGGTGTGTAGCGTGCATGTGCTGTCAGGCCCATTCTCAGGCTGGACTCATGGGGCTGTCACTGCTGTGTGTCCCAGTCTGCACTTTGCCTGGCACGATCCAGCTGGGACTTGACCTCCCAGACACCTGGTCACAGGCCCTGGTGCCAGGGGCAGGGCTGGGTAGCTGAGTGCAGAAGAGGTCCTGCTGGTTCTGGGTTTGGGTTGAAGTTGCTGCGTGGTCAATGGAGCTTTGTTTCTTAAATATCCACCAGAAGTAGGCCCTGGGTTGGAATACCTCCTGCAGGGATCTCCCCGCCCATGGTTTCGGTGGGTACTTGGTGAACTGAGAGCTCGGTGAAGCTGCTTGGCTGCTGCTGCTGTAGCCGCTGTGTGGACAGGCCTGCGAGTCGGAGAGTCCAGGGCGTGGCAGCTCAGGGTTTCCTGTCACAGGCCAGACTGGTTCTCTGTTGATCCAGTGACCTTGTTACATTGCGGCTCCATGGTTACCCTGCAGCTGCCAGCCCTCTGAGTAAGAAGGCAAATATCAAATGTCAGTGACCCTGTGTCTCCCTTTCCAGGTGTTCAGGACAGACCTGATCACAGCCATGAAGCTACACGACTCCTACCAGCTGAACCCAGATGAGTACTACGTGTTGGCAGATCCCTGGAGACAGGAGTGGGAGAAGGGCGTCCAGGTGCCAGTGAGCCCTGGGACCATCCCTCAGCCAGTGGCCAGGTAGACATGCCCCAAGAAGAACAGCTCTGCCTCCCCCGCCCACAGGGCCTGTCTGCCCCAACAGCCAGGTGCCGAGAAGACCATTGTGTCCTCAGCACTGAGGCCCCCAGTGGACCTAGAAACACACTCCAGGTCCACAGGGTGTGACTTGAAGGACTGGCTGGGGGGATTTGGATGTCTGCACTCCCCACTATCCCTCTTCCTGCACTTGCACCCCACCCCCACCCCCAGGTCATGTTCATGCAGCCCTGCAGCTCTGCTGGGGAGGAGTGTCTGGCCTTGTTGGGCACCAGTTGGAGTGGCTTCTTGAGTCCCACGGTGGCCATTCCACCTTTGGAAGAGGACAGGTGTGAGGGGAGGCCAGGTTAGGTGTGTGGATGGGAGCTCAAGGGGAGGAATGTGTCAAATGAGTTCTCCTGGGGATGGACTTTAACCAGTTCTTCTTGTGGGGCTTTGTCTGGATTTACTTACAATCCACTTTTCCCCCCTGAGGGTTGGTTGGGCCGTCAGTGACTGAGCTCAGCAGGAAGCTCTGTCCAGCTCCACTGACCTGGGGCTCCTCACGGGGAGAGTAGTTACTGCCCTGTGCTCAGCAAGCACCGGGCTCCTCTGCTGTGGGGCCTTCACCCTCCACTGCCCGCGTGGATGGAGCCCACCTCTCGCCCCTCACCCACTCTGTGTCTCTTCAGGCACTTGGGATGATCGAGTTTGATCGTTGCTCTTTGGGTTCTCTGTGACAAATGCCCACATAGATTTGTAGGTTTAAAGACCGGTCAGGTGGCCTCCGTAGGCCTAATCCTGGCCTGTGGGTGGAGTTCGTTGCTGGGCTCTCAGGACAAATAATGTGTTTGCCACAGGTGCCCGCCTGGGGCAGGGCACCCGCTTGGCAATTCCAAGCCAGGAATTTTTCACTGATTTGTTCATTTCATTTGGGAGCCCAGCACAAAAGCGTAAGTGTGAACATAGCTTATGGACGTTTTCAGCGGGAAGCTTGCTTAGCCCATCTCAGTGTCCTGTCAATAAAATCACTCTGGAAAGGATGAGTGTAATGACGATACTTGGACACAGTCCTTGGATAACTTGTTGATTTTCCCTCACACTGCTGAGCAGAGATGTGGAGGGCTCCGTGGATGTGGGGGGCCCTGTACTCCCAGCTGGGATGGTCTGACCACCTCAAGTGCTGTCACAGCCTTAGAGGGGGCACAGTGGACGACGTTTCTCCACGTGTTAGGTTGGGGCAGAGGGGTAGGTAAAGAGGAGAGGGAACTGGGTCTTTGTCCTGGACACTGAGTGTATATTGGGAGAGTCCCTGGCTGGGCTCAGACTCTGATTGTTGGGTTGCTTCATGGTGGCTGAGCCCTGGTTTGACTTATGGTCAGCGAGAGGGGTGGGTTTCTCCCCTGGGTTCCCCAGCATCAGCTGTGTCTGCTCTTGCTCCTCAACACTCGAGAACCCCGTGCTTGGCCTCCGGCAGGGTGGGCGGTTCTGGCCGGAGGAAGGTGATTTAATGTGCCACCCTGGACACTTCAGCAGTCACAGCAACTGCTGTTGTGGGTGGTGGCAGGGCCTGGGGTGTCCCGGGAAGCCAAGTGGAAGAAGAAGCTGGTTTTGAAGACTTCCGCAGTGTTTCCACTTGTGTGTCTTTCCCTTTTGGGTGCTTTAAGGACATCTCCTTATTTTATTAGCAGTGACGTTAGGGTTTTCAGCCTATTAGCCTGGGGATGACCTGGGTTTTGGGTGGAGCTGGAGACTCCCTCGCGGCCTTTGGACAGACTGGCTTTTCTGTGGCAGAAAGGATGACCTGGCTGCCTCATTTTTCTCATTAACTAGGGTTGTGTCAGAAGAGAAATCCCTCATGTTCATCAGGCCCAAGAAATACATCGTCTCCTCGGGCTCCGAGCCTCCAGAGCTGGGCTACGTGGACATCCGCACGCTGGCTGACAGTGTGTGCCGTTATGACCTCAACGACATGGATGCTGCGTGGCTGGAGCTGACCAACGAGGAGTTCAAGGAGATGGGTGAGGGCCCGGGTGCTACTGTCGTGTGACTGGTGGTGGTTAGAGGAGTATTGGGCCCAGAGGTGAGTGGCAGAAGCTCCCAGTGCAGCCAGCTCTGTCGTGCCCTGTCAGTCTTGGATCCGTGGGCTGTTTTTGTGGACAGCTGTCAGCTGTGGTGGGCGGGTTGAGATGGACTCAGGGACCGTGGACTGATGAGGGATGTTCCTGCCAGCTGTGGAAGTGGGATTCTTGCCCCTGCCCTGATCTTATTTACCTCAAGGGGACTGAACCTGATGAAGTGACTGTCCCTGGACCACAGAGGAGTCTGGCATTTCTTTTCCTGTAGTTCAGATCGCTGCCCCCTCAGTGTGGGCCGGTTTCCCACCACGGGGTCCTTCCCATCCAGGCTCCCTTCCCGACACAGCACTGGGCTTCACGCCGTGATTCCTTGTCATCAGGCCCTGCTCCCCTCAGATCTCTGTCTTTCCTGGAGCCCCAACCAGCCGAGTGTTCTCTTTTCCACGAGGTACCCATTTTCTGTGTGAGGAGGGTGGAGCTTCTGCGCCGCATTCACTGTACCTCCGGGGTGGAGACCAGGGTGGCGCATGGTTTCACCTCCATGCACTTCTGATTGCTGAAGGTCTCTTGAAGTGTCGTGATGAGCAGGACCGTGAGGTCTAGTCTGGGCACCATGTGAGAGACGGAGGATTAATGAGCGTGTGTTCCAGTGGCCCAGGATGGGAGTGACGGCTCAGGCTGCCTGTTCGCAGTCTGGCACGTAATGTCTCTACAAGAGCCTGGTTATGTTGCATGTCACTCCGTGAGCCCAGCACAGCGCCTGGCGCGTGCTAGGTGCGTATTGCTGCCCTGCCCAGCTGCCACCAGCCTGCCGCGCGGGAGCCAGAGTGTGACTCAGCCAGAAAGGTGGTCTATGGATAGAAAACAGGACCGTCCTCATGGTCCTTGCTTTTGGGTGTTCGTGGCCGGAATGTTAGCAAGCTTTTGAGAGCTCCCTCGGAAGTGAATGCTGTTCCATTCACTACATGGTCTACTTCATAGGTGTGCTGTGTGAAGGCAGAAGGTACAGCCAGAGACTCTGGCACCTTTTGGGTGGTTTAGTGATGAGTCCTGGGCTAACTCCTCCGGTCAAAAGGCAGTGCCCAGGACTTACGTGGTTGTATGACTTATACTGAACACATGCCTTTATTGGTCTTTTTAATGGTAAAAATTGACTACAGGGCATAGGATTGTCTTTTCAAAGCCAGTGGTGTTTTCAGAGCTGGTATCGGGAATTGGGATGAAGGCACCTGTCCACGCAGAGGCTGTCTCACAGTTAAATAGGGTTTGTGATGGTAAGTGGCTCCTTTGAATGCGTGTTTACGGCTTATCACACTGTCAGCTCTATTGTGTTCTCATATTTTTAAAAAAACCTGGGAAGTGTTAATTTGATGGTTTTAAACTCGACGATAATGCACAAAAGTAGCTGTTGGCTCTAATGACATTTCTGTTGTTTCTCGCTGCTTCAGTTCTGTCTGAATAGTTTTCGCAACCTATTTTTTCCTTCCTGCGTATTTTCATTGTGGGAAGTTTGGACTACATCCACACATGGAAGAAAATAGAAGTCTCACCCCTCCGCTGGCTATAACCACGGGAACCGCTGGACATGTATTTTTGGTCCTTCTTGCCTAAAGAATGCAGTTTATTTGATTCACAATGAGCTGTCTCCTTGGCTTCAGACAGTCCCTGTGTTTTGGCCTCTCGTGTGTCTGATTAACTGTGCTTCTCAACGTGGTAGTTTGGAGGGCGAGGAGGGATGGACCAGGTGAAAGCATCCAGTGTTCACAGTGGAATCTGTTGTCAGGGCACCGTTACAGGCAGCAAGTGAGGAAAGTTGTCAGACACCCGGATCCTAACACGAGGTCAGGGCTTCGAGGTCACCCCCTCGACTGTTTATGTATAATATCGTGATGAAATGACAGCTGAACGGCGGGTGCATTTAACATCCTTGATCCCTTTTGGGGTTTATCTTGTGTGTTTTACTTACCACACAGCACCCCCTGTGGGAGGGTCCGGGACGCTCAGGATGGATTTCATCATATTATTTGTTCTCTTTATATATATGTAAACAAACTGGTACTGCCTGGTAACGTCTGTTAATATGCGTTTATTGAAATGGGTCCTGTGGCCTCTCCCCCAGGAATGCCTGAGCTGGACGAATATACCATGGAGAGGGTGCTGGAGGAGTTCGAGCAGCGATGCAACGACAACATGAATCATGCCATAGAGACGGAAGAGGGCCTGGGCATTGAGTACGACGAAGACGTCGTGTGTGACGTCTGCCAGTCGCCGGATGGTGAGGACGGCAACGAGATGGTGTTCTGTGACAAATGCAACATCTGCGTGCACCAGGTACGTGGGGAGCGAGGCCCAGAAAGAAGCCACTGGGCCTGAGCCTGTCTGCTCCCAGAGGCCGGGGTCTCCCTTCGCATGGGGCCCATTCTCCCTCTGTCCCGAGTGAGTTAAGAAGTGGCCCCTGTGGACAGCATCTTCTGTCCCTTATCTTGCAGCGTTTGAAGTATGTCTTCCTACGTTTACAACCAGAAGCATAGAATAGAACCCTTGGTGGGACTCTCTCTCCTTCACATGTTTTCATTCCTGCCCACAGAAGTCAGGTTTACTTAAAAAGAACATCGGAGCCCCTCTGCCCGGCTCCAGTCCCTGAGTTCAGGTATTAAGAACACTGAAAAACCTTGAAAAGGTGGTTAGTTGGCTGGATTGGTTTCCTCGGACTGCCATAACTAAGTGCCACAAGATGGGTGGCTTAGAAGAACAGAAGCTTGTCTTGCAATTCTGGAGGCTGGAAGTCTGAAAGCAAGGTGTGGGTGGGGTCAGGTGCGGGTCCAGGTCAGGAGCCACCCCCCCTCCACCCCGAGGATCCTTCCCTACCTCTCCCAGCATCCGGTGGTTTGCTGACAGTCGTTGGTGCTCCTGGACTTGCAGATGCCCAGCTCTGTCTCTGCCTTCATCACACAGTGTCCTCCTGTGGGTGTCTTCACACCTGATGTCGTCTTACAGGGACACCCATCCTATAGGATTCGGGGCCCACCCTACCCCAGTATGACCTTATCTTAACTGATTACATCTGCAGTGAACCCTGCTTCCAGATGTCACATTCCAGGGTACTGGGGTTAGGATTTTAACACCTCTTTTTGGGATACAGTTGAACAAATAACATTTCCTAACCTGTTAGTGTATAAACTGAGCTGTTGAGAAGAGAAAGGAACTCCCTTTTCTGGAAATTGATTTCCTGTCCTCCCTGATGTCAGTAGGTTTGGGTGGTTGCTCCCTACCTCCCATGAAAAGTAAATCCTTGGATTTCAGTAAGGATGGACACTGGGTAATTTAAAAAGGTTGGGACAATCTCAGTCTTTCTTACCTCTTTATTTATTTAGTAATTATTATTTTTAAAATGTTTTATTGATTTCAGAGAGGAAGGGAGAGGGAGAGAGAGATGGAAACATCAATGAGAGAGCCATTGATCAGCTGCCTCCTGCATGCCCCCCCATTGGGGATCGAGTCCACAACCCGCAACCTGACCTTGAATCAGACTGTGACCTCCAGGTTCATAGGTCGATGCTTAACCACTGAGCCATGCTGGTTGGGCTATTTATTTTTAATGCAATAATGATGTAACTCAGATTTCAGTGGGGATGCACGTTAACATACTCTGTCAGGATTTAAAAGGCTACCCTGAGGTACTTTCTTTGAATTCACCTGTTGATGCTGAGACGTAAAACTAACTTAGACCTGTGTGGAGGTTGCTTGGCGACCTTTTTGGGAAAAGAGTCAAGTTTGCTCTGGGACGTTCTTGGATTATCGTTTTCTTTANAAGTCTGAAAGCAAGGTGTGGGTGGGGTCGGGTTCGGGTCCAGGTCAGGAGCCACCCCCCCCCACCCCGAGGATCCTTCCCTGCCTCTCCCAGCATCCGGTGGTTTGCTGACAGTCATTGGTGCTCCTGGACTTGCAGATGCCCAGCTCTGTCTCTGCCTTCGTCACACAGTGTCCTCCTGTGGGTGTCTTCACACCTGATGTCGTCTTACAGNAGGTGCGGGTCCAGGTCAGGAGCCACCCCCCCTCCACCCCGAGGATCCTTCCCTACCTCTCCCAGCATCCGGTGGTTTGCTGACAGTCGTTGGTGCTCCTGGACTTGCAGATGCCCAGCTCTGTCTCTGCCTTCATCACACAGTGTCCTCCTGTGGGTGTCTTCACACCTGATGTCGTCTTACAGGGACACCCATCCTATAGGATTCGGGGCCCACCCTACCCCAGTATGACCTTATCTTAACTGANGGGACACCCATCCTATGGGATTCGGGGCCCACCCTACCCCAGTATGACCTTATCTTAACTGATTACATCTGCAGTGAACCCTGCTTCCAGATGTCACATTCCAGGGTACTGGGGTTAGGATTTTAACACCTCTTTTTGGGATACAGTTGAACAAATAACATTTCCTAACCTGTTAGTGTATAAACTGAGCTGTTGAGAAGAGAAAGGAACTCCCTTTTCTGGAAATTGATTTCCTGTCCTCCCTGATGTCAGTAGGTTTGGGTGGTTGCTCCCTACCTCCCATGAAAAGTAAATCCTTGGATTTCAGTAAGGATGGACACTGGGTAATTTAAAAAGGTTGGGACAATCTCAGTCTTTCTTACCTCTTTATTTATTTAGTAATTATTATTTTTAAAATGTTTTATTGATTTAAGAGAGGAAGGGAGAGGGAGAGAGAGATGGAAACATCAATGAGAGAGCCATTGATCAGCTGCCTCCTGCATGCCCCCCCATTGGGGATCGAGTCCACAACCCGCAACCTGACCTTGAATCAGACTGTGACCTCCAGGTTCATAGGTCGATGCTTAACCACTGAGCCATGCTGGTTGGGCTATTTATTTTTAATGCAATAATGATGTAACTCAGATTTCAGTGGGGATGCACGTTAACATACTCTGTCAGGATTTAAAAGGCTACCCTGAGGTACTTTCTTTGAATTCACCTGTTGATGCTGAGACGTAAAACTAACTTAGACCTGTGTGGAGGTTGCTTGGCGACCTTTTTGGGAAAAGAGTCAAGTTTGCTCTGGGACGTTCTTGGATTATCGTTTTCTTTACGATGTGCCTGCCTCTGGGTCTCCCTCTGCCTGAAGACCTCTCTAGCCATGGTCCTGTGCCAGCTCATCCTGAGAGAGTGAGACACACACAGCCTCTCGATTCAGTCGTTCGAGCCCGTCTCACAGCCCTGGGCTTTCAGATTGTCCGGGAAGCTTCCTCGGGATGACTGAGAATCCTTGTAGTCGTTTTTGACAAGATCGTGAGCATCATGATGACCATTGTTGCTTTTTGTTGCTGGTGCTGTTAACTTGGATAACGTTTCAGGGTTTTTTCCCTATTTTACATATTTTTCCCCTGAGAAAAAGTTTGTTTGGAAAAAAAAAAGGTTCTGCTGGGAAGCTCTCAAATCCCCTGTTTTATAAACGAGTTAACTGATATCAGGGGGCTGCTTGGGGCCCCTGTGGATGAGTGGCAGTTAGAGCTGGAACTTGGGGTCTCTGGGCCCCCAGCCACCCCCTGCCTGGTCTTGTTCCTTCTGCCACAACCACGTTGTCTCTGCTTAACTTTCCTTGTAGTTCTTTTTTTTTTGAGATGTTCTTCATGGCTTGATTTAAAGGCATGTTTTATTTAATCTTTTAATTTTGTTTAGACTTGCTTTTCCAGTAAAAAAAAAAAATTGTCTTTTCAAATGTGACTTTCTCTAGAATGCCTGATAGAAACCCTTTAGTGTTTGAAACCTTAATAGTGTCATTTAGCTCTATTTAAAGTGTTTTCCCCGTCAGTCTGTGTTGACAGTGGCTCATTCATGGCCCTGACGTCGCGGCCCGAGCTCGTCTGTCACGTGCCCCCTCCGCGCTCATCCCTGCGGTTTCCCTTTGCGTCCTGCACTCGCAGACTGCACCGGGCTGTGTTTTCCTGTCTGGAGAGCTGGAGCCCTGTTACTGTGTCTCGACTTCCTGACTCGTAGTTCATCTGAGGACAGCGTTTTGCAGTTTGGTGTTTTTAGAAGGCTCTGAACCTGCGCCTGGTGCCATCATGGCTTTGTTTCTTCACTTATTTAACACTTGCCTTTTCTTTCTTTGAACCACCTTAGTGACTTTGGGTGTAAAAGCCTTGATTTCTGCAGTTTTGGCGTCTTGTGCAGAGTGGGCTCTGCTTTAAGTATCAATGAAAAAGACCAAATCCTCTTTATTTAGAGAGTCTCATCTTTCTGGGCTTGGCGGGTTCACTTGGGAGAGTGTTGGGATCCGGTTCGTAGCGTTTGAGCCGGGGAACGAGGGTGCTCCTGAGCTGGCGTTTCATTGCCATCTCATTTATAGCTTCGGGAGACTCTCAGGCGCTCTGTGGAGTTTTCTGTTTGAATCCCACCCACATGGGGTAACGGGGAGGAGCAGCTTCCCGTCCTCAGCGCTGAGCAGGGCTTTGAGGATTCACGGCTCAGTATTTAGAGTCGGGCTGGCGACGGGTGTTGTAGCCACACAGCAGAGCAGACTCTTTGAAAACCTTTCTGTCCTCAGGGAATGTTCAGAACCACCCTGTGGCGAGCACGTGTGTATTGTACCCACAGATGTCAAACACCTCCCGGTTGCCCTGGTGAGGCCATGCCGCCTGGCGTTTTCTGATGGGAGAGGGTCCCGGCCAGGTGGGCACGGGAGCGCCTCTGTTTTGCTGCTTGCTCTGTTAAAATCCTTCCGGGTGTTAAAAAATTAACAGATATAATGGGAAAAAAATGAATCATTTTTCTTTCTCTCTTTTTCCTTGGGGCTGCTGTGGCTTCACAGGCCTGCTACGGGATCCTGAAGGTCCCTGAGGGCAGCTGGCTGTGCCGCACGTGTGCCCTGGGGGTGCAGCCCAAGTGTTTGCTGTGCCCCAAGAAAGGCGGAGCCATGAAGCCCACCCGCAGCGGGACCAAGTGGGTGCATGTCAGCTGTGCGCTGTGGATCCCCGAGGTAGGTGTGGCCTTACAGCTCTGCTCTGGAGGGTCCTGGCTCTGAGCTGGGGTGGGGGCGGGGAGCCGTTCACAAACGGGCCACACTGCAGCTGAGGAGCAAAAACACCTTTTAAGTGCTACCCGTGTGCCCCCCTTAACCCGAATCTCCAGCTCACCTTCCTCGTGTCGGGGGTGTAGACTTGGGGAAATGTTGACTGAAGCAGCAGTGAGTTGGATGGTGTTCAGACTTCGATTCGGACGCCCCTCACAGCCGTGTCCTGGAGGATAAGGCCGTGCCTGGTGCGCCGTACACGGGACACCGCCGTAGTTAAGGAGCCAGCCACTGCTCTGGGTCACATTTCTGTGATTTTTATTGGAATTCTCCCTTAGCCTCCACCTTTTTAATTTCAGGTCTGGTCTAATTTATTTCCAGTCCCAGACCTTGACTAATTTAATTTGCATGGCTCACTGTGAGAATGTCATTTGCGATTCAGATTTCAGCGTTTTTTGGTGTGTGATTTTTGGTGCATTTTCTTCCTGAGGAAAATGATCTGTGGAGGATTTGGGTTGTGGCTTCATGCCTCTGGTCCTGGTAGCACCGGGTCGCGTGGTTTGCTATTAACAGGGACTCGGTTCAGTGATCCAGGCCCCGTGCTGAGGAGCTTGTGGGTCTTGGTAGTTTTCCACTTTGCAGTAACCTTTGCAATTTGAGGAAGATGGTTTTCTTCAGTGAGACGGACGTTAAAGTCAGCTTACGTTGACCTGCTTCCCTTTCAGTCCTGACCACTTCATGTGGGCCAGAGCTGTGTCAGACTCAGGTGAGAGGTGAACTCTCGCTCATCCGAGTGTTTGATAAACGGGGATGTCTGCGTCACGTGACTCCCTAGACCCCTGGAGGAGGAGGGAATGGACCTGGGAACTGGGCCTCACATTATTGGCATTTCCAGATAGTCATGACTCCTGTCCCCTGAGCTGTCCTGATGCTTTAAAGTAGGGGTTTGCCTGTCCTAGGAGGTCGAGTGTCCCTTGCCACTGTCTAGTGGGAGGGCATGGGGAAGTTTCTGCCACCCGTGTTCAGCCTTTGTCTATCTGATGGCCTTGGCCACGCTCTTTTGCTGTTTCTTGGACCTCCAGGTGAGCATCGGCAGCCCCGAGAAGATGGAGCCCATCACGAAGGTGTCCCACATCCCCAGCAGCCGGTGGGCGCTGGTGTGCAGCCTTTGCAATGAGAAGTTCGGGGCCTCCATACAGGTAAGGCCGCGTCCTAGTGACTTCATTTCCTTCCCTGTGTTGCGGGGAGCAGGATGCGGGGAGCTCTGTGAACTCCCTGGGGATTTGGAGGTGAGACTAGAATCCAAGAAGCAGCGCGAGGGCCTCACAGCTCTTATGGGGCGGCTGGGAACGGTCTGAGGGTTTTGTGGGTGCATTATGTCCTGTGTAAGCAGAACCCCGGCTTCGCCATCACAGGGCCACCTGGGCTCCGCCTGAGCTGCGAGGACGGTCTGTTTGGTCGCGCCCTCTGCTCTCAGCCTGGCAGACGCTCCGGGGCAGAGCCAGTCTTGGCCACCCTCTTACCTGTTTATGAGCCGAGTAGCAGACCTGCCTCCAGCTGCCCCTGACACGGCTGGTTTCCCAGGTGTGCACATGGGTGTCCTGCCTCAGGTGAAGTGTGAGACAGCGGCCTGGCGTACTGATGTGTTTGCATCTGTACTGAACAGGCTCCTCAGAGCATCAGCCGGCTGGAGGGACACCATGAGGTGCTGCCCTGAGCGCAGTCTGGCTGTCTGTGATCCTTTACAGCACCGTGCATGCGTGTGTGTGTGTGTGTGTGTGTGTGTGTGTGTGCACTATAGCTTGTATGTAAACTTTGCCTGCTTCTTTGTCTGTACCCAGACAAGTGTAAAAAAACTTTGGGTAGATAGAATTAAGGAGATTACACAAGGCATGCTGTCTTTTTTTCATGTTGCNAACTTTGCCTGCTTCTTTGTCTGCACCCAGACAAGTGTAAAAAAACTTTGGGTAGATAGAATTAAGGAGATTACACAAGGCATGCTGTCTTTTTTTCATGTTGCCTAAAACGAAGTTAATTTCTGGACCTCACATTATTGGCATCTCCAGATAATCATGACTCAAGAAGCCTAAAGTGCTGTCCTCCATGGCCTGCAAATGCTGCGTGTGCATTCGCCCTAAGGTCAGGTACCAGCTTAGGGCCAGGGGTTCCTCCTTGCTCTCCCCCTCGGTCAAACTGCCAGTCATGGGTTTTAAAAAATGACCTCATTTGGCAAAACTTGTTTGTATTTGGCTGATAAATATTTTTTTTTGTTAAGGTACCCACTGACTGGTGGGTTTGAAAATTTTCATTATGTGTGCCAAGTAGTTCTGCTCTCCTTTGATACCACTTCCACTGGTGTTCAAGCATCCAGAATGTAACAGAAATACTCAGAGGGTGAGGCATGAGACAGCTGGTGGGATTTGGCTGTGGACCTTGAAAATAGTGCAGATTTTTGTATGTGAATAGAATCTGCTTAAAACTAAAACATAACAAAAGCCTCTGGCCTGAGAGAATGCAGGGGAAATCTTTCAAAAGCCTCAAAACCCCCCCACAAAGGGCATTAGAGTTGTGTACATGTGTGTGGACGTGTGTGTATGTGTGTGTGTGTGTGTGTGTGTGTGTGCACGTACCCCTCTGAACGCCTGCAGGAACAAGCTGTGGCAAACCCAGGAAAATGGAAATTGTTTCCTTCCCAGTTACCTGACTTTGATGTCCCTGGGAGGGCAGAGTGCCTGCCCTTCCCCCAGCACCCCTGTCCTGGTCCATGGCTGAGGTTTACAGGAGGTGGGCACACGGGATCTCTGTTTCTCTTTTGAAGAGAGACGATGATGAGATGACTTTTTTGTGGCCGTTGACCTCTTTTTCCCAGAACATTAATTTGAAGGAGAAGAAGCCAAAGGAGGCTGGTGATTTTTCATATCTGCACAGAATGGACTGATTTTATTAAAGAATTCCTCCCTGAAATGTCTGCAGCTGTGGAGGCTCTGGTTTACGTTTCCGTAACATCTGTTTGCTGAGTCAACCTGAATTGGAAAACCCAAAGGAAGGCCATTTGGCGTCTTTATAAAGCCCTGTGTAAATATTCCGCTGCAGCCCATTCCTCCTGGAAGCCAGAGTGCCTGGGTTTAGTGTAGTTCAAGCCAAACACTGACCGGGCCTCAGGCATCTGCCCCCACTCCTGCTCCCCTCTGGGCGGCACCCTAACGGGGGCAGCGGAGCGCTCTGTCCTAATGGCGGCGGCCAGGTGTGCATGTGTCTGCTCTGCCACTCACGCTGATTTCACAGATTTCTTAGAATTGAAGTTGTTTATAGGTAAAATGACAGATTTCTGTTAGTTCATGTGTTTTATGTTGGTGATGAGGAAATGGTGAAGGAAGCTGGGTTTTCCGTACTTGTGGGTAAAAGAGACTGTAATAATGGTAGAAGTCCTGACCGGCAGAGTCACGGCCTGTTAAACACTGAAGCAATTGGGGGAAAGCCCCAACTCCAGCCTCTGCCCTTCATGGTTTGGATTTGGGTTGTTGAATGAGTTTAATTAAGCTTTTCAGCTGGCCCGGGGCACTGGGTTCTGCTTCCCTGCAGCCCTGGTGAGCCCCGGGTCACTTGGCCTTACACAGTACAGTGTTGCTTTTAAGGGACTGGCTTCAGTCACCACTAGGAACCTCTTCCAGGGCTTTACCCAGTGAAATCAGATGGGAGAAGTTGATCAGTTTCCTCCTGCCAGGCCACTGGCCCGCCCTTTGTGTCCGAGGCACCAGGCTGTGGTTCCGACAAGGCAGTGAGGAGGCTGCTCCTCAGGGAGGGAGGCACAGCCCCCAAGGCTGGCCTCCAGGTGACCTGACCCAGGGGATTGGGCCCCTCTTGGTTTTCTGCCACTGCAGTGAGTCCCAGGGGCCCATGGGAGCAGCCAGCACCGCCAGGCAGGGTGCACGCGGTCTCAGTGCCAACCTCCACTGCCCCGGAAGCACCCGGCGAGGCTTCCTCGGGCACCGAGACCTGTTCCCACCCCCTGGGCTGGGTTCTCCTTGTCTCCTGCTCTTTTTACTCTCGGGGAGTTTTTATTCACCCTCCCATCTTGAGCAGCGGCCTCGGAGGGAATGCCCCACTGCTTTCCCACTTGTCCTGGGACTCTGCTGGCCAGGGGTGAGAGCGAGGATTCAGGTTCCTGGAAAAACTCCGACTAGTTGTCATTCTACCCGAGGGGATTCCTGTCATCCCAGCCTTTTACATAAACACTCAGGAGCTCAGATCTAAAGAAAAAGCAGATTACTGCTTCGGAGTGTCCTTTGCACATTGAGCACATGTTCTTTTGCGTATAGTGTAGGTGCCAGACCACCTCAGGCTACGGGCTGCAGGTGCTTGTCTGAGAGTTAGGTTTGGTCTATGAAACCTTCACCTGAAGTTTCCTTAACTCCCAGGCCTTCCCTTATTTCTTTTTTTTTAAATATATATTTTTTTAATTTAAGAGAGAGGGAGAGGGAGATAGAAACATCAGTCATGAGAGAAAGTCATTGATCGGCTGCCTCCTGCACGCCCCCTACTGGGGATCGAGCCCACAACCCGGGCATGTGCCCTGACTGGGAACTGAACCCTGACCTCATGGGTCATAGGTCAATGCTCAACCACTGGGCCAGGCTCACCAGGCTATGCCTTCCCTTGTTTAAAACATGACTGGGTTAGTGAGCCAAGGCTAGTCCGGGTGAGGCTCTGACACGGCCCCCGCCTGCGGGGCAGCTCTGCGCGCGGGTCCGGGGTGCCTGGTGCTGAGGGGCTCCAGCCGCTGCCCCGTGTAACCGTCTCTCCTCTTGTCTCGTGTGTCCTCCCCAGTGCTCCGTGAAGAACTGCCGCACGGCCTTCCACGTGACCTGTGCTTTTGACCGGGGCCTGGAGATGAAGACCATCCTGGCTGAGAACGACGAGGTCAAGTTCAAGTCCTACTGCCCGAAGCACAGCTCCCACAGGAAAGCCGAGGAGAGCCTCGGGGAGGGGGCCGCTCAGGAGAACGGGGCCCCCGAGCGCTCTCCCCGGGACCCGCTGGAGCCCTTCGCCAGCCTCGAGCAGAAGCAGGAGGAGGCCCACCGGGGGAGCGTCCGGAAGCAGAAGCTGCAGCAGCTGGAGGACGAGTTCTACACCTTCGTCAACCTGCTGGACGTGGCCAGGGCCCTGCGGCTGCCCGAGGAGGTGGTGGACTTCCTGTACCAGTACTGGAAGCTGAAGAGGAAGGTCAACTTCAACAAGCCCCTGATCACCCCAAAGAGGGACGAAGAGGACAATCTCGCGAAGCGGGAGCAGGATGTCTTGTTTAGGAGGCTGCAGCTGTTCACGCACCTGCGGCAGGACCTGGAGAGGGTAATGATTGACACTGACACCTGGTAGTGACTAGAGAAGAGGACCGCAGAGGCCGCCGCTGGCCCAGAGCCGGCGCGGTGGCACTCGCTGCCGGACCTGTACATACCGCAGCGTGGGGGTGTCGGTTCAGTGCCCGTGGGCTGGGAAACTCACAGACGTGCAAGCCTGCCAGAGCGGGGGCTTCTCCGGGACTGGCTTTTAGACATTTCCCACTAGTCCTTCCTGTCCTGCAAGATCAGGTGGGGTGCGTCCCCCTCCATTCTAGAGCTAGAGGGATCTGAGCCCCAGGAAAATGACCAAGGGATCGGTCCAGAATTGTTTACAAACGGTTAGGAAGCTAGAATGGATTGACTAATGGCGGGGCGGGCCGAGATGGGGACACTGACCCGGTGCTGGTGGTGGGCTCACTGAGGAGAGCGGAGCCCTGCCTCTGCCCTCGTTTCCTGGCTGATCCCCGGGTGTCGCCCGTGTGGTCACGGAGCAGGGCAGGCTGTCGGTGCTGGCGTGTGTGCGAGCTCTTCCACACACGCGTGTCTGTCACAGAGGTCCTCCTGGCAGTGAGGTGCTAGGTCAGCCCTGAGGCTGTGTGTAGATATCACGTGTGCGTGTGTCGTGTCCCCGTGTGTCTGGTGTTGCGGGGTGTGGGTGTGGGGTGTCCCATCCCCCAGCACATGGTGTGTCACTGCGGGTGGCTGGGCTGGCGGCCGGGCTGCCTGGAGCCGCTCGCCGCTTCCTTGGGCCGCTGCTCTGTGCCTCCCCCACCCGCTACCTTCTCACTTCTTACCTTGAGTCCCGGGTGCACTTCTCTCCTGCCACAGGTATAATTAGGAGTGGGCTGTCTTCCCCCAGGGCCTCCTGCTCCCTGTAGGTGGTTTCTGACTGAGGCTTGCTAATTGGGGATGCGTCTTAGAGCACCTTCTGCGCCAGCTCCCCGACTGATTAAATTCATTAGCACACAGGAGCTGGAGCAGCCCGCACGGTGCGGCACCCGAGTGGCCTGGAACAGTAACGCACCTCCCCCAGCACCTAGCGGGAACTGACTCACCTGCCTGGGAGAGACTGACTCAGATGATTGAAAGGAGAGTGTAGGCAAAGCAAAGGGCGAAGTGAGGCATTGAACCAAACTATCCACATCTCACAGAGACCTGCGCGGCCCTGAGAGAGGTGGCATGGACGTGAGATCCTTAGAGACCCTGTTAGCACACGACCCAGCGCCAGCCTGTGGTGACACCCTTTCCAGGAGCAGGTTAGCACCGGGACGCAGGCGAGGCGGGCGGGAGGAGGGCTGAGGCTGTGCTCCCTCGCCCCCCCTGGTGGTGAGCGTGAAGAAGACCTCGCCCCCGAGCACACGTGCGTGTGGCAGTTTTTGTTGAGAGAGGAGAAGGGTTCGGAAGGATGAACGGATCCTGGCGAGGAGCCATTATATGACGACGGCTGAACGTGGGGTGCACGAGGCGGGGAGTCAGATAGTCCTCAGGAGGGAGGGCGAGAAGGCTAATGTTTGGACTGTGTTTGTCTCACAATCACCACAAAATAAAAGTGTAGAAAATGCTTGTGGTGTACTAACTCTTTTCTGTGCTTAAGTTACTCAGATTAACACGTACCTATAATTAAATTCTAAACATTTTTTGGAGTCATCACTGTTGCTTTTTAAGTAGAACGATGCCAATTATGTATGGGAAACAGGGAATAAATCAGGATTTCTGTGTGTGTGTGTGTGGCATTACTTACATTTACTTTAATAAAGAGCCTGAGAGATTCTAGGGTATTTAGTGTCAGTTTAAAATGGGCTTATTATTATACTGAAAAATATGTTTTCCAAAATTTGCCGTGAGGCCTGCGATGGCGGGGGCTCTGGAAGATTAAATCTTTGCCACGCGCCCGAGAGCCGCACAGTTCTTTGTAATTATAAACCAGAAGTGCATCAGGCCAATGGCTGTTCAGGGCAGGGGTGGAAGAACACGCATAAACCCATGCTCTCTGTTCTGCCTAAACGACACAGAACGTCACAGCAGGTACACAGAATCAGTTACTGCATGGGACCATAAGGCCTGATGGCAGTCCCAACTGACAGATGAGCAGCCGTCGTTAGAAATGTAAACAGTTGATGATCACAGTAACTGCTCTTTCCCGCAAAGACACACCTAGGGGCATTGCACACCTGGGACCAGTTCTGGACCAGGAAGTTAGGTGACAGGGATGGATTTCAAGAGGGGCTGGGAACCCACACCTTTAAGAAGACTCGATTGCCCATGAGTGGTGGTTGGTCACGTCAAGTCCCCAGGCACTTCATCTCCTGTGGGATTCATCCCCCTAAGTGTCTGCTGAGAGATGCAGCAAACGGTTAGGCAGCTGAGTGCCTGCTCAGATAGACATGCTGCTTCAGTGAGGCGTCCAGAGGGGCCCGGTCCTTCGGGGCCTGTCCTACGCAATGCCCGGTGGCACAGCCACCTGTGAAAATGTGGTGCAGCTATCGCTGTTAAAAGGCACGTTAAACTTTAGTGTGGCAAGCGGTGCTCAGGATTCAGGAAAACCCCTGGAAGCACTCGGATTCCTGAGGGCAGTGGTTCTGAGTGTGGTCCCCAACCACCAGCAGCATCACCTGGAAACTTAATGGGATTGCAAGTTTTTGGGCCCTACCTCGGACTCCAGAAATTCTGGGATTGGGGGCCAGCATTCTGTGTTGTAGGGAAACACTACTTTAAAAAATATATTGATTGATTGATTTTAGAGAGCAAGAGAGACAAAAACATTCCTTTGTTCCACTTATTTATGCATTTATTGGTTGATTCTTGTGTGTGCCCTGACTCGGGATAGAACCCGCAATCTTGGCAAACCATCGGGACGATGCTCTAACCAACTGAGCTACCCGGCCAGGGCTGGGAAATACTGCAATTGCTGAGAGCCTGACTCAGGTTTCACCTGGTGTGAGTGCACCCATGAGCTGGTGTTTGGGGTACCTCCTCGCTGGCTTTTGGGAGGAGATGAAGTGGGAGGGCGCTGGGTCGGGGGTACAGGCAGGGCCTGTGTTCAGGACAGAGCCTCTGTTCAGCTCCACATGGGGCTGCGGTGCACCTTGTCCCGTGAAGCGTGTTTGTGCCCAGGGTACAGTGTAGGGTGCTCACTATTCTAACTGGTCAGCCAGGCCTGGCCCTTAAGAGGCTGAAGCGTTCCAACTGAAAGTGAACCCCTGGCCTTTGCTTTTTGGGGTTATAGTTGGATGTTTCTCATCAGAGATCGAGGGGAATAGAAGTGAGGATTTCCCAACTAGCAAGTCAGGTGGACACCTTACCTGGAAGTGGCTGAAGCCACCGAAATTAAATTTGAATAATATACAGAGTTAGATCTTTGGCTTCCCTGTTCTCCATTTCTGGCGATAGTTTCAAGTAAGAAATGTAAGCATCTCTGCCGTATATCCAGCTTGAATAGGACAGGGACCTGTCTACCTGTCGACTCCTAGAGTCAGAATTTGTTGCATTTCCTATTTCCGGAGGTCAGGTTCCTCCTGTTTGTTTTCCACAAGTTTATAATCTGTGATACCTGCCTAGGTCTTGCCTCTTCCTCTTTTTGAGCTTCCACTCTAACCTGCCCTGGGTGGGACAATGCTTATGAAAGAGAATAGCCTGTTAGCCGCCTCTGTCCCCATGGATCAGGATTTTAATAAAGGACACCTACTTCCTCGCCTGCGGGCCTGAGGCTGTGAGAGGAGGAACAGGCATCAAAATGAGGGGCCAATGGCATCAAAACATTTACTCGGAGACAGAGAGCGTGACTTACTTCTCGGGTCTTTAATTCTAAGATACGTATTCTTTTTTAATCGAGGACGAGAAGTGTTAGGAAGATGCTAAATAAAGCACACATGGATGTAACTGGGAGCCAGCCGTCCTCTCGCCTTGAACCCAGCTGGAATCCTTGGGGCTCAGAACAGACTGAAGCCGTGAGGGGTGGTGCCTGCTGGAGCCAGGGTGCAGTCTTGTGTGTATGGCCTGCCCCCCCCTCACTGCCAGAGGGAAGGTCCAGGACCTTCGGACCTCTCCTGGTTCTAGGTCTGCAGCCAGGGAAGGGGTTGCCAAGCATAGGAAACTGGTTTTTAGCGGAGTAGTTGAGCCTCTGACGTGGGAGCTGATGGGGAACGCGAGTCGCTTTCCGCTGCCACCGCCGGGCTGATTCGGGGCGTCTTGTCCACATTCTACTGTAGGAGGCTGAGCTGCGTATCTGCTCTTTTGCGTTTTGACATCTGTGCGTTCAGGCCCATAGAATCCAGTGAGGCTTACTAATGGGTTTTAGGACTGAAGGATTTAAGGGGGTTTATTGATGAATTCTTTACATTTTGTCTCTGTATTGGCAGATCCCAGGTGGCTTTAGAAATGGGACAAGTCTGTGTTGATCAGTTAGCGTTGAACATGGGCACCTGATCCTGGGGGCCGAATGTCAGGTCCAGAGTGGAACTGTGAGCACGTGGGCCTTTTCAGTTCCTTACAAATGAATCAGGAAGAGGGCAGCCTCTGTCTCAGGTGGTGACTCAGGGAGCTGGACTTGACGTTGACAGCGAGTCCACAGCAAAGTGAGGACGTTCCCTGGACGTCCCGTTCTATCCAAACGTCAGCTGCCTGTGAGCTCCAGGGGCTCAGTGTCCAGCTGACCGAGACCTTTACTTGGATTCTTGGTGACCATTGGGTCTTCTGGTGGGCCCTGTGCAGGGACAATATTTGGGGGGCAGGGGGCTCCTCTTCTATGGCCCTTGACCTATGTGTACCTAGCTCCCTCTGCAGAAGGAGCACTGACGGGGGCTTCCAGACCTCTCTCTTAAAGCCTTTCACCTACAGTTTATGGCTTTCTCTTTGCTGGGATGAATCTAAGGCTGGGCCTCTGTGGGATTCTGTAGGTGCTCCTCCCATCTCTAACGCGGCCGTGTTGCTGCCCACATTGAGGGGTATGTGTGGAATCCTTGTTAGCAGCCCAAAGGAGATTAGAGATTGGATAACATGTTTAAAGTACATCTTGGTTTTTGATGTCACTTGAGGCCCTAGTAGGACCATTTTCTCTCAGGTAAAGAAAACAAAATCCCGAAGTACTGTGACGATGCATTGCTTACTGAGAATCTTTATTCTCTACATTCTAGGTTCGGAACCTCACTTACATGGTGACCCGCAGGGAAAAGATTAAGCGATCTGTGTGCAAAGTCCAGGAGCAGATATTCAATCTTTACACTAAGCTCTTGGAGCAAGAAAGAGTTTCAGGTATGCATCCAGCCCTCGCAGGTCAAAGGGCAGGGCAGGGGGTTGTAAGCCTTAACGCTCTGCCGAGGAAAGCAAGGATAGCTTCTTCCGTTTTTCTTTTATCCTACAGAATAATCTAAGAAGCACAGGCTTTCATATTTAAAGAGAATCTTTGAGCATTTGAGGCGTCGCCATATAGGGGAAAGGGCTAAGAATTTGGCCTCAAATGCGGGTCGAATCCTTTACCCTCTACTTCCAGGCCACACGCAAGCAAGTCTCAGGTTCGCCAGGTCGCCCCATTTCCTCACATGTCACTTGAGGATGGTATCTCCAGCTGCTGCTCGGGAACTGTTGGGAGGCTCAAATCAAAGAGTAACTTCTCTGTTGCAAAGCACTTGATAAATGTAAGGTATTGTGGGGATACCTACGTGGCCTGGCATCTGCCTGTAGCCTGTGGTCATATATCTCAAGACTGTACTTGAGGCACATGTCTGCGTTTAGGTAACATTCGCAGTGGTCATTTTTGGTGTAGGTGGGATTTGAATCTTCCGGAGATTCAGAGCCCTGTATTTAGTATTCAGCGCCTTCTGCTTTCCATTGCTCTAGGCTAAGCGAAGAGAAAGAGACAAAACACGGCAGTGGCTTGGAGATCTGATACACAGTGGGGCACGCTGTGTCCGTGGGAGAGGTTGGGTTGAAGTTGCCTGTCAGCACGAACACTCTGTGCTCCCAACGCCGGAAAGCAGGGGTTAGAAGGATTTCAGAGAAGGAGACGTACTGAGTGCGGGTCAGGCAGAATCACGGATCGGGCACAGGCAGGCGTCAGGTGAGCTGGTCTGCGCCCGTCCGCCCTCTAGCAGTGGCGTCTGAAGCGCCTGCATTGTGCTGAGTCGTGGCCGGCCGGCTGTAGGTTATTTTGACACGTGGGGACAGCAAGGAAGCTGCTACACCCTATTATATTGATAACCCAAATGCTGGTTTACCCAAAACTAAGCAGATATATGGGACTGGAGGCACAGCAGGTCCTCAGATGGGCGTAATTTTGTTCAAGGTGGTTTCATTGTAACACTGAGGAGATGCCACAGGAACTAAACCCTTGTTTACGTCACTTGGCCTCCGGTCAATGGTTTCACGTGTGTCCCTTCACACGCAGCCCAAGAACCTGTGGACGTGAGGTGCGGACTTGCTGTAGGTCGGTCAGCGGAACAAAGAGAAAAAAGCCTAGGGTGTATTAAATGACATTCTCAAAGTAATTCATAGTTTTAATGCCACTAATTTATTAATAATATTATCGTAGATTTTTTTTTCTCAAGAGGAAATATTTTCCGTATTGTATCAAGCTAGTATCATTTGCTAGAATTTAGTTATCAAACTTTTAAAATAAATTTTTCTAGGTGGTGTCATGAGTAAAAGCAGTTCAATTCAGGTTCTTTCAAGTGAACTTCTGTCTCTTCACTGATTTTTTGGACGTATTTTAACCTTGCGTCTGAGAGGAAGGTGGGCAGATCTCCAGCCGGCAGCCTGCAGGGGAGCTGGGCGGCAGGGCGAGTGCAGGCCGGGCCGGGGGCTGATGCTGGCTGCTTTCTGTGACTCCCGCGAAGCTCTTAGGTAATGAGAGATTACCGAGAAAGAGGAGCTCTAAAGAGCTTTGCCTCTGATTTCACGGAGTAGTTTTTCATGGATGTTGCAGGCAGCTCTGCGTTTCCCGCTGAGGTTTTTCCTTGGGTGAGTGACTGAGACGCTGAGCTGGGGTATTTGTGTAACAGCTGCAGTGCATCCCTCCACTCAGAAGTCCTTCTGCTCCTGCAGAAAAGGAAAACCAGTAGGCCCTCCCCTGTGAGATGTGGACCACGCCAGGTGGGATGGGCTGAGCGCAGCGAGACGGTCCCTGTGGGAGCCACGGCCTGTACACGACACACCCCAGAGGGCGCATTGTCTCTCCTTTTCCAGTGTTAGCCTCTCAGTTGGGTTCTTACTCACGCCAGCCCATCTCCTGCCCTGTCAGACAGAAGATTCCAAGTGAAGCAGCGTGCACGCCCATGACTTACTTGTGCCATTCAGGGCCATGGTTTAGGCTCTGCGGTGACTCAGGATGGGTGGGGCTGTTCTGCTGGATGAGTGTCCCCAGTGGAGAGGCCCCCCTGTAGAAGGTCACGCGTCGGAGACTCCTCAGAGACACGGATCCCAGGCCAAGTGGATAGACTCTGAGTCAGAAAGCGTCTCTCTCTCTCTCTCTCTCTCAGCTTTGTTTCCTCACCATAGGCGAGAAAAGGAACCACAGTGTGGTGTGAAGCCGACCCTAAGGATTGATCCTTGAGGAAGCAGGCACTTCTAAACCAGGTTATAGGACACCTGCCCCTCAGGTGGTGACAGTGCTGTTTAGAGTCGCTAGCTCTGTTCCATCCCATGCTTGGTCCGTCTGCTTCTCTCCGGGGTTCCGGATCCCTGGGGCTCTGAGGCAGAGCCTGTTTTTCTTGGTGGTTCACAGCCCACAGGAGACAGGAACCTGAACTTGCCCTGAGGCCCTGGCAGAAACGTGGCCCTTCTGATGAACTCCGGGTGTTGGGAGTTCACCGGGTGTTGGCTAATAAGATTTCACGAAGAGTGAGCTTTCACTGAGTAATGAGAAATTTAGTGCTTACTGTGATTTGCATGAAAAATGCTTGAAAAACACCAATTTAACTTATCCTCATGTTGGGTGAAGTTTTAGTTTAAGTCCACAAATGGGTTTTACATCTAATAGTAAACATTTTTCCCCCCACGTTTCCTGTGTGTCTGGAATGATTTGAAACTCCTTCCCTTACCCGCTTCACAGTCACACGGCCATCCTCCTCGCAGCCCTGCGAGGGTTCACACGCTTCACGGGAAGAGTGTAGAGCTGCGCTCTTGCCCTTGTCTCGCTGGGAGGCCGGTGACCGGAGCCAGGTGGGTGGTGGAGGCCGGGCCCGGTCACCGCCCGAATCTGCATGGATTCCCCTTTGAAAATCAGATCAGCTGTTGTGTGGAAGGAAAATATATTCCTTGAAAAGAGGCTGTTTCATGAAAAATTCTGTGAACTTCGGCTCTTTTTGAAAATGTAGCACATTAAGTTGTACGCAGATCGAGTGCAGATTCTCAAGGCAGGTAATACCTTTCCTCTAAAAATCAACTTTTCACTAGCTGGGCGGCTGTGAGTTACACCGAGGGAAGTTTGCGTTCACAGGGCCCCGCCGAGGGCCTGTGGTCGTCTGGTTTGGGTTTGCTTCTGCAGTAACTTGTCTTCTCTGTGCCTCATGTCGCAGGTGTGCCTTCTCCGTCCGGCTCCTCCTCCTCCCTGGAAAGCATGCTTTTGTTCAACAGCCCATCCGTGGGCCCCGACGCCCCCAAGATCGAGGATTTGAAGTGGCATTCTGCCTTCTTCAGGAAGCAGATGGGCACCTCCCTGGTTCACTCCCTGAAGAAGCCCCATAAGCGAGCCCTGCTGCAGGGCAGTGCCGGGCGGGACGGCGAGACCCTGCTCAGGGAGGGCGTGGGGGTCCCCGAGAGCTTTCTGAGTTTTGAAAAGACCTTTGCAGAAGCTCGTCTCCTGTCAGCGCCACAGAAAAACGGTGTGATGACGCCGGATCCCGGGAGCCGGAGGGACCATCGTTTCCATTGTGACCTCGGTAAGGGGGATGGGAAGGACAGACCCTTTAAACAGAGTCACAAGCCGCTCAGGTCCACGGACGTGTCCCAGCGGCACCTGGACAGCACGAGAGCCGCGGGCTCCCCTGCAGTGGGGCAGCCCGCGCCCAGTGGGAGGAGGGAGGCGGCGCCCAAGTGCAACGGCTCCCTGCCCCGGGTGAACTGTAACCAGACCGCAGTCAAAGTGCCTACGACCCCTGCCAGCCCAGTGAAGAACTGGGGCGGGTTCCGGATTCCAAAGAAGGGGGAGCGGCAGCAGCAGGCCGAGGCCCACGGGGGCGCCTGCCACCAGCACGCAGGCTACCCCTACTTGGGCCTCGGCCGCGTCCCGGCCAAGGACAGGGCCAAGAGCAAGTTGAAATCCGACACTGAGAACGACGGGTACTCCCCCGACGTGGAGATGAGCGACTCGGAGAGCGAGGCCTCGGAAAAGAAATGCATCCACGCCGGCGGCACCATCGGCAGGAGGACAGACATCATCAGGAGGAGCATTCTGGCTTCCTGATGAACCGGAGCTGGCGCGGGGCCC